AAACAAAAAAAACCCCAAAACCAAAAAAACCAAACCCCTTTTTGTCTATGCCAGACTCACCCCAGTCCACAGAGGTGGCAGCTCACAGCAGCAGGTACCACTAGAAGAGCTTTGAAGCTGGAACATCCTTTACTCCCTCATTATCCTTAGCGCAATTTCCCCAGAAAGAAATACTAACGCTTTTCCATAATCGCACAGGTTCCTCCACTCCAGCCAGAGTTTTTCACTGTCTTGTCTTCCTCCTTAGGGAGACCATGGCACAAAGCAGTTAAAGCAGTCAGAAGTAGCCTCTGATGCTGAGAGCCTGAGTTTCCGGATGACCAATGGGAGATTTGGGCCTGTTTCAGGAGTGCCAGGTGAAGCCAATGAGACTTACAGGTGCTCAACATTTCTAAGTATTCTCCTAGTTTCCCATTCCCTCCTTGATAAGTTAATGCATAAATCCTGGGGGGGGGGAGCAATTTACCCCAGGTGAGAGTTTCTGGAAGAGTAAGGGTCTCAAGAATTGGAAACATCGCACAGAACAGAAACAAGGACAGCATCACACCGACTGACTGCTTTCCCAGGGTGTAATCCGTCCCAGAGCTCAGCGAAAGCATCCCCGTTTGGTCACTACGTGGCCCTGAGCTGCTCCCAGCTGAGAAGTCGCTGCCATTCAGCGTGGGAGCGAGGTCAACGAAAAGGAACCACACTGTTCGTTAGCGATATGCTCAAAGGTAACTCATTACCCTCCTTATTTCTCTTGTAGGAGCAGAAAAGAACTGTGTCTGGGCTCCTTTACATGCTCCATGCACTGTGAGAGACACACAGACAAGTCCAAGGCAGCACGGCTGGTACATCAGAGCCATCCCCACGCTGGCACCGGGAGAGATTCTGGCCTTGTTCTTACAAAATCCTCCTCGGCAGGGTTAATCTCTCCTGCCTCTCCCCCCTTAGCTGACTGATTGCTCAAAATTACCATATAGATTGAGAAAGCCAGGCCTGTGATTTCACAAAAGCTTCTGCCAGACTCCTCCAAGCACCTGGAGACCCTCATTCAGTCTTGACCCCAGTCTGGAGCTGCTTTCCTTGGAGACCAACCCTGGCCTCTGCCTGATGAGAAGAGCAGCTGATGTTTCCAATTTGGAAGCAAAGTCAGGCAAGACAGCAACCTACACCAGCCATCCCATTCCCCTCCCCTGCACTATTTCCCCCTTTCTCTGCTAAATCCATTCCTCCTAAACCTGAAAAAAAAAAAAAAATCTCTTCAAGGGCAACAGCTGTTCCCTGCCCCACGCCGTCCATCCAGATACGTTCCTGCAACCCAGCCGGGAAAGGAGCGGTGGGCACGACCCCGCATCCGTCTGCTGCGGCAACCGCACCAACCACCCGCACGCAGTTAATTCCCAGAGTCTTCCTGTCTGCCCCAGGCCGACATAATAAAATGTGCATCGATTTCATGATCGCACAGACTAAGACGGTGCCTTTTTCCCAGCCTTGCAGCATCCTTTCCAACCTACACGGATACAAGCAGGGAGGCACAATTTCCAGCCTAGGTTTGAGACACGAAAGCTCTGCTCTCATTTTTCCCTTAGAGCCAGGCCGAGATGACTAGCCCTGAATGCAGGACTAGCAGCACAGCCTTCCAGAACAGGAGCTACCTCCACTGCAAACCAGAGTCAGGGCACGTGGTGCCACTGTCCTGTGTCTGCAGACCACAGCAGGGCTGGCAGCGAAGCCCCCCCTTAGGCTGCTGCTGGCGTTTAGAGAGGAACCACAGACCTTTCTCTCCACGGCAGACTTTCCAGCAGCGCTTTTGGGCAGTCTGCTGTGTCTCACTGTAACAGCACTAAATATCGCTGGGGTGCTTGCTGTTCAATCATCGCAGCAGGAACTAAACAGGGGAAAAAAGAAAAGAGGAAAAACCCTGCAGAGCTCGAAGGAGCCTAGAGCCCATGGCCAGAGCTTTAGACCAACAGTCCCCTGGGAAGATGGGACCACGCTTGCTGCGGCTTCAGACCAACGGGATTTTTGTCTGCGCAGGGCTGGGGAATGGAGGGGGAGCTACAAGAGTGGGCAAAGCACAGCAGTACCTGGTGAGGCACTTAGACCTGTCCGTAGCATGGGCCAGGGGCAGCTCAGAGCTCCTGTGCCAGGGCAGCCACCTCTGTCCCCAGCCGGGTGCTGTTCAGGTCCTCCTTCCCCAAACACACGCTTCCTCAGGTTGGGAGCCGAGTCCTGGCCAGCCCCAACAGCTCACCTCCAAGTTGCAGCACCAGTCCCATCAGCCCTGCCCCTTGTCTGAGCTCTCAGGATGGGCTGGCAGCTGCTGCTCCATCTCTCTCAGGAGCAGCCTCCAATTTCCATTTAAATTGAGATTTTAATGCTCCTTTTCCCTTAGTCCCTGTGTATCCAGGGTTAGCAAGCGGCCTTGGACACCTGAGTTGTGCCTGATGGGTCCCAGATACCTCTCCCTAGTTAATGATCTCTCTTTTCATGTAACCAGGCACCTAATAAGATAATGTTGGGGCCCCGGTACCTCCACAGCAGCTGCCACAGCAGCAGAGGGACAGTCAGAGCATTAAAGATGCCAGTTTGTTACCTTACTCTGCAATCCAGCTCACACCAAATTGGATTTGAGCTCCTGTTTACTCATTTTATTCTTATCTAGACTGCTCAGTGCTGACAGCTGCGCTCACCCCGACAGCCCCCAAAACCCACCCATCTTCACAACCTGTCTGCAGGGTGAGCCAACACTGCTGCCCCCAGTTCACCCACAGCAAAACCAGAGCTCCAGAAAGTGAACTGGCTTACCTGGGATTACAGGGCAGGAACAGAGCTAGCAACAGCACGCATGAGTCCTGACTCATAGTCCCTGCTCCAGGATCAGCCCGAGGTAGGAATTAATTTCACTCACCTCTGAAATACAGGCACTGTATGACTTTAGGATGGGAGGAGGAGGATGCATCCCAGTGGAACTGCAGAGGAGACCTGTGCAGGAAACCCATAGCACGAAAAAATGAAACCCATTCTGAAGCCAGCTAAACAAGGTGTAGTTTTGCCAAAGCAAGCCTGAGTTACACTGTTTTGGAGCTGTTTGTCCATTTCCCAGACTGACCACAGAAATGTCTGTAATGTGCAGAGGCCTGTTCCATACCCTGGAATTTTTTGGTTTAGCTCATTGTCACCACCTCCTCTCTTCTGATGCCGATGCCAGGAAGGTATCAGCCGTCCAGTGACCAGCCAGGCCACAAGCCACAGGTACGAGGTCCAGCTGGAGGGAGCTGGTGCACTGCACTGCTGGTAGAGGAGAGCCCCAGTGCTTTGGAGCTGGGGACTGTTGCAGTGTTCCCCAACACAAGTTAAATGCAGACAATAACTAGACAAAAAGAAAGGATCATATCACCCTCTCCATTGTCTTTTGTTTGCAGGTTCACCCTGCAACTTATCACAGATAACAGTGATACATTGAGCTGCTTGCTTTTCTCCAGTCTCTTTACAAACAGTCATGCATTAAGCCTCAGAACTTTGCCACAAGATTGAGTATCAGTAAACTCTTCAAAAACAGGGAGACCAGGACAGTACTGCTTTGAAAAAAGCTGGGTATTCTGACTCTCTCTCTCACCACCAAGCCAGGAGTCCCGAAGTAAAGCACAACCATACTACACATGCTACAACACCCTGCTTTTAGCGTGGGAAATTATTATATGTATTGCAGCAACGTTCAAATGAAATTAGTTGCGTTGGGCCTCCTAGAAACACACCAGATGATTGTGCCCATCTCAGAACAACAACTCCTTCTCTAAGTTAGGCTGTACTGTCCTCCCAGAGCTGAAAAGCCCCAAGACTGTCTCAGTTTTGACAGCTAGCCACCACTGCTACAGGGAGAGACGGTTATACATGAAGTTGAGTCTTACCAGTGCTTCCCTAGAAAAATCCAAGCATCGACCTTGGAGATACGGTAAGCTCTGCTCCCCTCCCACGCTGATTATGCTGTAACTTGACTATAATTGGGCTCTATTTAATAATTACCGTTACTCTGTAATTATCACTTTTTGATTTTTCTTTTTGTTAACATTTGCCGGGGAGGGGGAGAGGCTCTTCTGCTGTGCCAGAGAGGTAAAGATGTCTCAGATTCAAGACAACGTGGATGTGCCACTTGCTGCTGCAGTGTTTAACCAGGCACCGATCAAAACACCTTTCTAAAGTCACTGTGTCACAGCCGGCAGTGAAATGCTGGGGGCTGTTCACTTGCTGTTTCTACCCCCAGCTAACCAGACACAAGCTCCCATACGCACAGGAGAGGCTAATTAAAGAGTACAGGTGAGCAAGGAGTGCTTCTTAAAAAGCCATTATTATTGAAATGAGACAGCAAGGGAGGCAGTGGGGAAGGATCCTGAATGAAATGGGGGAGGAAGGGAATTAGAGGGAGAACAAAGTAAAAGGGAGAAGAAACAGTCTAGGCAAAGGAGGAGGACCTGACTGATGGATGATGTGGTGGAGGCGCAGAAACCAAAACAGCAATGTTCTTGCTTTAACATCTGATTTTCTCCTCTATCCTCAGAGTCTGAAGGGCTCAGACGCCCTCATTCCCAAAGGCTCCAAGCAAACAGTCCAACATCCTGGGGCTAAAACACAGTTTGTGTTCATCCTAGACTGCCCTCAGCTGTGCATATCCCAGCTTAGAGAGGCTGGCTCTTGCTCCAGGGGCCAGAGCACACCTTTAGCATGCCAAATCCTTCCCCACAACACGCTCCAGACAAGCTGCTACCAAGCACAGCCTTGGGGCTCCAGGAGAGGTGGCTGCATACCTGTCCAGACCTGCAGGATAATTTGCCTGAGCAAGAGAGACAGTCAGAGGTGAGCCTAAAGAGAGTTACCCTAGCAAGGCCATCACCTCCCTCCTGCACAGCCCACTAGGAACGTGGGTTTCCCTAGCTAAAGGCTGCTACGCATTGTCCCACTGAGCACAAGGCAGGATTATCTAGTTCTGCCAGCAGCAGTTATCACCAAGCAAGCAGTTGCATTTGGCTCATGTCCATTTAGCAGCCTTGGGCTGATGGCCTTTTGGACACAGGCAGTGGCAAAACCAGCCTCTCTCCCCACAAGCACAGCTGCGTTTTTACTTCACTGACTATGGAGAGGCTCAGCAGACCACACAAGTCTTTGCTTTCTCAGCTGAAGTCACAAGGAAAGTGGAATTTGAGCCCTTGCATTTTCATCTTTTGCAGAAGGCATTTTTCCATGGGTCAACTAGAGAGCAGCAAGAGAGATCTCTACTGCCCACTTGGGCTGGGTCTGAAACTGAGAGTTACAAAAACACGTATCCAAAACCCCTCGAGCCATCTGGAAAATCACTCTGGCTATTCCACACACTTATTAATGCAAACTCGTGCCCAGGCAGAGTGCACGATATCCACATTATCCTCAAACTCCTCAGAAAATAGGCAACTGCAATAGTGTCCCTGCTTCCATCTCTCCTCAAGACCATCCCACCACCCTTTTCCCAACCCTGTCTCAATCGAATGCATTGCTGGTGAAAGGTGTAATCTTCTCCAGCGAGACAGCCATTTCACATTCCACGTGCATGACTGCAGGCAAGGCATCCACAGGGCAGGTGTTGTGAGAGGGCTCAGAGACCTGAGAAACCTTGTCAAAGGACACCTCGTTGTTTTCCGTCTGCAGAAGAGCATGAGGGAGAAGCTGGGGGTAGCTGAGGGTCACCACTTCCTTCTGATATGTGGTGTCGTGGTGGTAGGAGACCAGCTCATTGCTGAAGTTCACCGTCTCCACTGCATTGCTGGGGCAAAGGCAGCCACAGCCCAGGATGGTTGCAAAAGCTCTCCGAAAGTCTGCATTGAAGGCATAGATGATAGGATTGAGGGAAGAGTTGGCCCACCCGAACCAGACGAAGATGTTGAAGACAGTCTTGCTGACACAAGGTAGCTCTCCTGGCTCACGAAGGTCGAGATTACAGAAGGGCACCATGCAGTTGAGCACGAAGAAGGGCAGCCAGCAAAAGACAAAGACGCCCATGATGATAGAGAGGGTCTTGAGGACCTTAGTCTCCTTCTTGAAGGAGTTCTTCAGGGAAGCATCGTGAGGGCAGTCGCTGCTGTGGCAGTTTTGGGCATGTTCCACCGCCCTTTCCAGGGAGGAAATCCTGCGGATCTGCCGCTGGGCAATGCGGAAGATGCGGGTGTACGTTACAATCATGATGGCAACAGGGATGTAGAAGCTAACAAGAGAAGATGAGATGGCGTAAGTCCTGTTGAGGCTGGCATCACAGTTCTCCTCCTCCGCGGTGACATTAAAACCTGGCTCCTGTTGGCTAAGGAGCTCACGATCCTTGTGCCACTTCAGCTGCACAGGGATGAAGGATATCAAGAGGGACAGTAGCCAAGCCACTCCGATCATGATGAAAGCCACGTGCTGCGTCATCTTCCTCTCATAGCGGAAGGGGTTCGAAATGGCCCAGTAACGGTCCACGCTGATGATGCACAAATTGAGGATAGAAGCTGTGGAGCACATGATATCAAAAGCCACCCAAACATCACAGAAAGCCCCAAAGGGCCAGAACCCAGCCACCTCAGTGGCAGCCTTCCAGGGCATCACCAGTACAGCCACAAAGAGATCAGAAACTGCCAAGGAGATAACGAAGAAATTGGTGATCTTAGAGCGCAAGTGTCTGAACTTGACCACTGCCACACACACCAGCGTGTTACCCAGGAGCGTGGTGAGGATGAGAAGGAAGAGTAAGGCTGCTGTCACCACCCGGAAGGACAACTCGGAGTTGCCTTCCTCTGCCCAGCTCTTCCTACTACTGGTGTCATTGATCACATCCTGCCCATCTCCTTCCACGGAGGAGTAAAAACCATCCATGGGTTCCCCTTTGTTCCAGTCCCTAGAGAGGTTTCACAGCTGTTCAAGTCCCCATCAGCATCCAAAACCCCTTTTTACTGCTCTGCTGACATCTCGGAAGCACCAACTGCAATCCTCCCAGCTCTCACACTCTGCCAGATGACCCAGCACAAGGAAAAGTGCTTGAAGCTCTCACTCCTTTCCAAGTCTTCAGCTGACAGCGTGGCGTTTGTTTTTCTCCCTCTTGCCTCCCACCCCACTTTTCTTTCTTTGCAGCCTGTCGCTCACAAAGAGCTGGCACTCACCTCCGGCACTTGAGCAAGCTGGGAAGGCTTTGCTGCAAGCCTTCCTCCCTCTCCTCTCTCAGCAGCTCTTCATCCGTTGTTGATCTGATGCCTGCTACAGAATCCCAGTCAATCCCTTCTGCACTGGCCAGGCTGGGACTTGCTGCCAGACTCAAGAGGGAATCTGAGCTCCCTCTGCTCTTGCAGACGGACCTTCTCTGCTCATAAACCAGGCTGCTCTGCTGTCTGCTCTTCCCTCTGTTGCTAATTGCCTCTGGATTTCACACAGGTGAGATCCTTCTCTGCCCGCACACCAGGTCCCCTACTCACCAGGTTGGTCCTCTGTGAGCCAAGAAGAACATGGCATTGGGAGTCTGCAGCTGACAGGGTAAGTTGCTTGGGAATTAGGTGATAGGATTGAAGGGGTAAAATAACAAACATTCAAGTGGGATTTGAGGGTCTTCAATGCAAATCAGGATAGAAATTCAGTGTGCTTCATCTCTGAATAAGAGATGCCTAAATTCACTGCACAAGCATTGAGCCATGGCTCAGATATATGACCCTAGGGCAGTTACTCCCCCCTGGCCTGAGCTGCCCAGCTGCAAGTGATGCAAAACTGGCATTTACCTTCCACTGCAAAGTTCCTTCAAGTCCACAGGAAAAAAAAAAGGAAAAAAAAACCACACACACAAAAAAGCTTGTACAAATCTGAAAGTTTTTTCTTTCTGAAAGTATCAAACAACACAGTTTTCAGACAGTCTTTCTTTCAGTAGGGGTTATGTGTAGAACCAAAGAGGATGCTGGACACAGCTTTGATAAGTTTTTTTATCCTTAATAAACATGAGTACTTTCAGTAAAGCGATACAAGGTAGCTTCTCTTTCAAGTTCACCATTCTTTCTTTAATGCCTAGCTAATTCCACATTAATTCCTAGCTAATTCCACATTAGCAATCAACTGACAGCTGAAAACATTAACCAGAAAATCAGGATGTCTTTCCAGCACAGTACCCAGCCCTGTCAGCAAACATTGGTCACCCCCAAGAGGTCTCCTTGCTATCCTTACCAACTATTCCTCCAAAAGCACAGGAACAGCTCTTCCTTCTCGCCCAAGGGCTGAGTAGAGCCAGACAGCCTCAGCCTGCTGCCTTGCCTGTTGTGCCACAGGTGGGGACACAGCCTGGTAGCCTGCTGGGACTGAAAGGCAGCAATCACAAGCGTTGTGGTACTGTAGAACTGGGGGCAGCTCTGGAGGAATGAGCAGGGCTATCCCCCCTAAAACTACTCCTCTTCCTACGCCATAAAGCTCTCACTCCAGACTGACAAGCAAACGGCTCTGCAAGACTCTCCCTTCTTACGTTGAGGAGAAAAACACCACAATATTAGGAACCATGTCTGACCTACTAAGGCACGGGTTAGCCTTGGAAGCGCCTGGAATCCATCACTTTGTAACTAAAGCCACTCTGTAAGCAAAAGGGCTCCTTTGATCAAGAAATGTCAGAAAAATCCTTCAGGAGGCAAGTTTCCTCGAGAGCCAGTTCTGTAAGGGCTGCTTAAATGGGCACCTGCTTTTAAGAAAAGCCTTGCTGGTAAACTGGTCAAGGTGGGAAAGAACAGCAAAAGCTTTCCAAATCAAACTGGAAAAAACAACCAGGCAGCTCAGCATTAATTCACTCATTACATTTGATAGTTGCTGTAGTGTATCATGATGACCTCTGCCTTTGCCTGTCATGTACACCACTTCTGAAGAAAGCAGCAGCCAATCTATACAGTGTGAGCTCAGCTGCACTGAGATTTAATTAACTTGATTCTGTGACCCAGGCTTTGCATAAGCCCAGCTAGAGGAGGAACTGCCCAAGAACAACTTTCAAACAAGACCACAATTATTCTCTTGAAGATACAGCACCAAGCAGCTTACTCCTAAAGTAAACAGCACGCTTGCTTTGTGACAGGTTAAAGAAACTTGTTGCTAGCATGTCACAGCATTTACTTCTGAAGGCTTTGTTTAATTAAGCCTCATTAGTTCCACCGTCTGCAGCCTGCTCCTGCCAAGTGCCTATGCCAGGAAGAGCAGCTAGATGGCACCAACAGCCGGCTCATGGCTCAGCGCTTCCACCTGGGTCTTTTGTGTCAGGCCAGCTCCCTTCCTCCTTACCAGAATTTCATCAGAGGAAAAGGAGGACCATCTAGTTGCCCAGACACCACAGGACCCTGGCAGTGCACTAACCCGTGCAAGGGTGCATGCAGATGCAGTGTCACCTGTGCCCCAAAGGGCATTTTTCTCATATTCCCTCTACAGGGCGCAAGTATTTTTGAGATCTAAGCTGCAAGACACAAACAACAGGATGCTTTCGCTGCTCTTTGAGACAGCAGCAATGGCAGGTGACATGTCATACAGTATTAAATCATGGCAGAGGCTTAGACTGGGAGCTCACGGCACACTTAGGTTGCACGTGCTAAGCCACGAGGCATTCCAGGAAATCATTCCTCAAGATACAAAGAAGCCTTCCTCCTCCTTAGGAGCTTAAAAACATCCAAGAAAGGATCTCACCCTCGCACACAACTTACACCAAAGCAGACATTCAAAGCTGGGCTGGTGAGGGGAAGATGGGATGGGAAGGGATCCAATACATTAGCCAAGTTCTGTGCATCTCAGAAGACACACAATGAAGGATGGACCATTAACTCTGCTGTTGTAAGCAAGCAAAGTAGAGTTACTCAAAACAAAATACAGGCAGCTACTCCTGCCTGCTAGATGCAATCTTCTCTACTGAGATAACTGTTGTGCTGCATTATATTCCTAAACAGTTGCACCATTTCCTCGCATAAGCACCTGCTATTTTTTCTGAGAATCAAGTTAAGTACTATTTTAAACAGCACTCAAATATGATAAGGTTCCAGTTTGGTGGCAATTCAGCTCTAGGTTTTTGTATTTAATTTCCTCACCCAGCAAGAAGCTGCCCTCTATTTCCCTTCCCTGCTGTCTCACCAAAATATACTTAAAATTCTCTATTCAGCCATCTTGATTACATTCCCCACTTTGCATCAAAGGAAGAAAATTACAAGCCACTTCAAATAAAGCAGCAGCTGCTTGGGTTTAACTCTTATATGCCTCTTCCAGAATGGCGCTCTCAGATACATTACAGAATTACAGGAGAGTGTTTATTCCTACAGGAATTACTTCACACTTTACTTCCACAGAAGGTACAAGTTCTGATAGCAGGGTAAAAATGAGGGGTAGTCAGATCCTTTAAAAAAAGATCCAGTGATATTGGCTGTAGGCAAGACCCGAGCCCGGCAAAAAAAAAACAAACAAAAAACCACCACAGTAGCTCTCCAGGGACCAGCATGCCAGTTCAGATCAAACCTCTTGCCAGAGGAAACAGGCTTGACTGCCTGCAAATTCAAAGCTTACTTCAGGCATCTTAGTATCAGAGGGAAGTAGGAGTAATGTGTTTTGAACAGTTTATATACCAGGTTACTCCGTTTAGATTCATTGTCTTTAGGCAGAGGAAAAAAACCATACTAGTCTCCTCAGCTGCACTGCTTAATTACAATCAGAACAAGAAGTGAATTACAATCAGAAAAAACTGTCCCAGAATAAGGCTTAACCAAAGGGTCAGTTAAGAGAACTGACTTCCTGGCATAGCAGTTTTCTCCATGGCCACAGCAAGGTGGCTTAGGTAAAGGACTGCATCCTGCATGGGTCCTGAAATTGCACTAGTTTGAGAGATGCACAATGATGAAAAAGTGGAAAGCTAAGACAAGCTGAAGCAAAGAAGTAAGCCTTTCCAAAATGATACTCATAAAATTAAGGCGCCACAACCAAAAGCCAGTACAGGCTACTTGGTAAAAACAAACAACTTGTTAAATGATAGTAACTGTTGGGCTTTTTTAAACACAGAGAAAAGGCTCAGGGAACTCAAAGTCTGGTACAGCAGTTATTCAATTATTTTTTTTTGACAAAGCAGCCCAGGAAACTGCCCATTTACTTTCAGCAGACAAGTTTTATAGATGCAGAAGCACAGCTGGAACAGCACTAATATGGCAGTGATCTGTGGCACAGAGAAAAGGAGGCACCACAAGGGACTCTGGTTCCTCCCCTTTATTACACATAGGCAGAAAACACAGTGGTTTTTCTCCCGTTTACTTACAAAGGAAAGGAATACAGAGCTTCAAGTCATTTCACATAATTCCGTGTGCAGCCTGGGTAAACTGCTAGCTGGCTACTGCACACCTTCTCTGGCAGGAGTCTGCACTCTTGTACAAAGTGACTATGAAGGCAGAGTCAACACAGCACCCTAGTGACACCTGTAATTTCTTCCCCTGTCCTCTGGGGCTAAAGCTGGCTCACCAATAATTAACAGGACATGGGAACTCCAGCCCTAGTTTAGCATTCACCCAAGCTGTTATCCACACAGCTCAAGCCGTGGAGCTTCGTACAGGAGGCAGCATAGAAATGGTGACAGGAATACATTCCGAGTCAGGGATAGGTGCAGAGAGAGGAGGACTGGCAATGCATCAATGTGTAGCTAGTCACTCCGCTGCCACACACAGGCTCTGTGTGCAGAAAGCCCAGTTAATAGCACATTCCCCTCCTGAAAGAATTCATTTATTCGTGTTAGGTATCAGGCTTTCTGCTCTTCCATGTGCATACACATAATAAAAAAGTGACCTGCAAAAGATGAGTAAAGACAGCCTCTAAAAAAACACCTTCAGTTGCTGTGCTTGGGGTTTTTTGCATGAGAAACATTTACAGTTTTGTTTGGGGTTTTCTGGTAACCCATAATCCTGTGGAATCGCATCATCAAGACTGAAGGCAAAGTCAAGGCTGTTGTATGAAACCATCCTCTCAAAGGGAAAACGATGCATCCCTTCTCCTCCCACCCCAAATCACCCAGTATGAGAGCTCAAAGCAGATCACCCTGCAGCTCTCAAG